TAAACTCATAACTATGTATATACTTATATATGAAGAACATAATATCAAAGTTGACAAAACTATGCATTTATGGCCTATATTTAATCATTTTAAATAAACTGGGGCATTTTAACCACCCCCTGGGGCAATTTGACCAAAACTCCGGGGCAATTTGCAGCGGGGGCAATTGGACTGGCAATCGTACTTGATTTAATTTATGTTAAAAATACCACTGACAGTAAGCTGTAACAGGGAATGATGGGAGTATAAATGAATCTCATGGGTAATTCTTCCTTCTTCAGCCTAGCTTGGGGATTTTGTATGCTCATGTGTGCTTGTCTCTTTCATATGCGTCTGACTCGGAATGATCGGAGCATTTCTCCTGCCTAATTATAAGTCTGTCTCTTTACTTGGAAAACGGAAGAAATGGTGGCTTTCCATTGTTTGATGATTCCGTGCATCCCCAGGCAATAGAATACACCATCATACCATTTACAAAAACAACAGAAACAGCACAATTTGTACTACTGTAGCACTTGGTCTTTGGCAATATGGCGGACTCCAGGCACATTTGATGTCACGAGCGGAAAGGTCACATGGGTTCCAGCGAAATATGCATAATGGCCAAAGCTGAGATTTACAGAAACTGTTTTCGCGATTAAAACATAATTATACATAATTTTTAATTGAAAATTTGGGAATATGTTTCTGATGACTTTATCTTTCACCCAGCAAATTATTGCAATTCACTCGTATTCTCCTTTAAGTAATATTCACTTACTCACTCACTCATTACGATACACCTCTATCAAATTTGATGCAGCTCCCAGCTCTATAAGATGCAGCAATAAGACTCGACTGTAACTAATAACCCACAAGACACAAACAGGATGCAATATATCCCTGCTTTCTACCCTCTCCCTTGTTACACATGCTGTGTCTCAACCGATACCACTGCTGGTATTATGAAACAGATTCTCCTTAAAGGAAGACTAAACAGCACAGTATAAAGGTCCTAGGTCGTGATGTTATGAAAGCTAAGTGTGTAATTGGAACATTGCCCTTGTGTAAATTTGTACTTTCAGATTTTCACCCCAAAATTAGAATAAGCTTGCGAAAAATTATTTCAATTTACTTGAGAGAAATCTTTGGCTTAATTAAATCCCCACTGTAATATGAATGATCTGCATGATTCAAGATAAAAGGAATATATAATTGAAGATATCAGGAAATACCTTTAACTTACTCTTGCATATTAAAACAAATTCCTGGCATCAGTTCGGCTCCATGTTATTGCTGATGGTGCGAGATAAGAACACTGCCTAGCCTGTATCCAGGGGGTCATCCCCCAACATTTACACCCACCTGCTTAAAGATCACATATTATGGAGTGTTTTTATAACATTTCTAGCGCCCCAAAGACTAGGGACTAAACATGCTATAGTTTATGATATAAAACACAGATGGCAGGTTGCATGTTTTGTCAAACAGGTGGTGGTGGGTGTGGTGTGTGCGATGTGAGTGTGGGTGGTGGTGTGAGTGTGGGTGGGGTTGTGGGGTGTGGGTGTGGGTGTGGTGTGGGTGTGGGTGTGGGGGTGGGGGGTGGGGTGTTGGTGTGGGTGTGGGTGAGCTGAGCGTGTTTGTGAATGTGGGTGTGGGGTGTGGGGTGTGGGTGCAGGGTGTGGAGCATGTGTGGGGGTGGTATAGGGGTGGGGGTGGGGGGTATTTATGGATGTTAAATTCTGTATTAAGAGGAACATGACATTTCAGAGTATATTCTTACTCTTTCATCATGTGAATGAAAGCTAGGATCTTGATTGTTTATTGGTTAATGTAGATAATCGAGTCTGGAACAGACAATTCAGTATTCAACAGCATGAGCATGATCTATGGCATACGATGACATGTGTCGCCTCTTACGACAAACATGGGTTGCTGAAGATAAATTCTAACCCGGATCTACACAGGCTGAAACCTTGGAAGCAGAGAGCTTATATTTGTATGTGAGAACAAAAAGCTAACAAAGGTGGATACTAAACAAAGGCAGACAGTAATTAACAACACAGGAAGGTACAAGAGGCCAGAGACATCAGGAGAGTCCAACCGCACATGAACCAAGACCAAGGAACATATCTTCCGAGCTCCATCCAGCTGGCTTCCATGTCTATCGGTATCATCAGTCAGTGACTAATTACCTCCCTTGCCCTCCTTTTACCAATCAGTGCTATTACCAACAGGCACTAATTTGCACCTGGATTTACTCCTGGCTTCCATTTTCCATTGCTTTCATGTTTTGAAATTTTTAGGAATTTTTTTACGAAATATTAATTTTATCATCGCATCTTAAAGATGGATCACTCAAACACTCTCACTTCTGATTGGTGAGACAAAAACGACAACTGCTTTTCTTTTTTCTTTTTCACATTTATATTTCTGAGTCAATGGATATGTTAACCATACATACAATTCTATTTCCGTTTCACTTATACTTCAACATTTTTCTCTTGGAAAAGCCACATAAAAGCTTTTGGCACAAGACACCTCAAAGAACTAGGGCTCCAGTAAATGGAAAATACAGTCCAAGAATATGTAACATCTGTCTGTTGATTAACTGTAGGGTGTTGTTTTTTGGTCTCCTTTTAGTTTACTTTGGCATAGAACCATGTGCACTCATTCACTCATTTAGACCAGGCCTCTCCTTGACAAAGGCAACAACATCAATCTAAGGGCTACAACTCTTAACTTCATCCTATGTCTAATCACTGTGTCCAACACCCATCTCCTCAAGCATCATAACCACAAACCAACTATTCCAGTCATTTGACCGGTACCTTGCAGGCAGAATAGCAAAGCACTTATGTGTAATATTCCAATTTACCCAATCCCATCTCTGGAGCATTTTGTAATGTCAAAGATTATTGACTTTAGAGAATATTCTTCCATAGATATCTACCAAATGGCTGTTAGCAATTGTTTTGGCACATGTCATGAAAAGGTGAAAAGTCAAGGGTTACGAAAACTCATAATAGAGTTTGTGGTTACATTTTCTCAAAAGTATTACTGTGTTTATCATTGAACTAGATAAATAACTGGAGGCTGGTAGTGGTCATTAAATGTCAGAGGTAAGGCTTCATGGACGAATAGTGGAGGGTATGGGGTAGCATTTACCCGGTACTTATAGACACAGATCCCTCCTCCACCAGTCATTCTGGCACAACTTCAACAGTGGTGTCCCCAATATTGCTGGACCTATCCCAACTCCCTATCCCATCAGCCAGTCAGGTGCCCATCATATCCCTCCTTCACTAATCCACCACCCACAGTTCCCACAACACACACATCCAACAACTCCCACCCCACCTTCCTGGCCTACACATCAACAGTGGGTCAAACAAGCACAAGCACCACCCTCCCTCCCCAACAACACACACACCCTCCCACCCCACCTTCCTGGCCTACATCAACAGTGGGTCAAACAAACCCCTTGAAACAAGAAACAGCAGCAGACATGTGCTACTTCAGCTCAACTATTTCCAATTTGTTTACAGGCAAAATAACTGTGCTTTCTTTGTGAATGTCAGAGAGGAGGGTGGTGTTAAATATAGCTGTACCTGTTCACAGGAGCATGTGTTCCTGGAGAGACAGCTGGCCATAGCAGGAAGGGGGAGCTCTGGTTACTACTACAAACTTAATACATTCAACGGTGTCAAGTCACTTAACACAGGAATGTCAGGAGTCATTGAAGATCCATGCTTTTTGTCATACAGAGGCTAAAAAGCTGACTGTTTGAATTTCTGCAAACCTTTTGTGCCATAAAATTAAACCAGAGTAATAAACTTATTAGGTCTGTTAGTTTCCTGTGTGAGAGAAGAAAAACAGACCTCATTGAGAACTCCTGGTGCTTCCTATCAGTAGGAAGACAATAAATATTGCTCACTGTACACCAATAACTATCACAGAACAAACAAAATTGCCAAAAAGTGTGGTATTTTTAACTTTACACCAATAATTATCACAAAATAAAGAAAATTGCCAAAAAATGTGGAATTTTTACCTTTACACCCATAACTATGACAGAATAAACAAAACTGCTGTAAGTGTTGTATTTTTAACTTTAAGACTAGAACAGTCTCCACTGTTTCATTGAAGAGTCTAACCTACATTTTGTGATAATAGAAGAAATAATCCTGCATTTCAATAGAAATATATTTTTCCGGTCAGTATTTACTTTTTAGTTAGAAGGCTCAAGAGCTATTTCTTTTGGCATATCAGTTCATAACACATTTTGTTAATATGGACAAAGTAAATTGCTAAAGAAAGATAAAATTGATCTACAAATTTACATGAATCTCTATTAGAATAAGTCTAGCTGGAAATATTACCCTGAACAATGAAAATTGCAGAATCTTTGCATGATTCACACACTCTCTCTTGGCTATGTATTTGTAAAAAACAATTTCAAAATTCAAATTTCAAGAGAATCAAAATGAAAATTCAAAATATCACCAGGAACATTTCTCACAAATGAAACTCCATAACACCAACAGCAGTGTCTTGCAATAAAGGCTCCCAAGGTATTTGTCATAACAGGTTTTTAGGCTCAAAACAAGTTACAGTAGAATACTTTTATAACGAACACGGATATAACGAACTGTTTTAAAATAAATCTTATATTATCAAAAAAAGTGAATAGCGAACTACGGATATAACGAACTAATTTCAGTGGTCCCTTGGAGTTCGTTATAAAGGTATTTTACTGTAGTATGTTTCACTTAATATGTCCTGCTCAAGAATGAGAGAAAAAAGTTATCCTTTCACGTATTTCCTGATGATAAGATATGAAGGGATGAATGGTGATTGGTTGCCTGTGTTACCATAGAGACTTGTGGATTTTAACTTATTTTTTTACACTGATATTTTGGTGCAGTATGCAAGTACCTGCAGTATGCAAAATGCCTTTTGTGGGGTTTTTTTCAGCTTTACACATGAGTATTTGATGATAGGAAAAGGTAATGACTCACCATAGCCCTCGGAGCTGGTGTTGCATTGTGGGCTGGACATCGGGTAGTTGCCTGGGATCATCACAGAGATCGGGGGCACACTTGGCAGGGACTTGTCATCTGTAATATTAGAGATACTGAGTCACTTGTACAGAGTGGATGGCTGGTTGAATGGGTGATCAATATTCAAGCTATATTACGGTGTCCGTAAATGTCTAATTCTGCATCCTGCAAACGACAGCCTGAACAAGGGTGAAGGAAATGTTTGATGATTGAACGACCACACTGCTAGTGACGACATATACGTTAAAACAGAAATACAACCAGTAATTGCTGAAGATTTACACGAAGAAGGACATGAGTCACAGTTCAAGACAAATTCCACAACAAATGTATCCCAATGATGACCAAAAAATGCTTGAATCCCTCAAATGAAAATGGCCTCACAAAAATCTCCATACTTGTCTATTTACAAATATTAAATTCATAATACTAAGATTCTTCTTAAATGACTCAGACAACACAAACAAAACTTTCCCACACAAATCAATCTCTGCATGCACTTAACCCCACTGGGAGTAAACATTTGGCAGCCATTACCACAACAGGGGAGGTAACTGTCCCAATTTGTTCCCCAACCCAACCCCTTGCACGCCAAGTTCAATACATTTCTCCACCAACATAATGATAGCATATACATCAATGTCAACATTTGCTCCTGAAAGATAATTTACTTCCTGCAGATTGTGGCTCAATGCAACTAAAGTGCCAGTAGTGTTTATTAGCTGGAAACCATCTTTTTATTTCTTGGCATGCAGCTGAAATGATATCGGTAATGAAGACATATGATACAAACAGCCTTCAGAACGTGTTCCTGCACGATGGTTTATGGTAATACATAGCAGAGTTGGAATGTATATCTATATCTGTTCACTTCTGCACTTTGCGTTATATGTAAATGGTGGCAGAGCCGTAGCCTAGTGGATGAAGTGTTAGCTGAAGTCATGCTGAAGTCATGGGTTCAATTCCCCATATGGTTACAATGTACTGGTGATTATTTTGGTGTTCCTTGCCATGCTATTCTGGAATAGTGCTTAAAGCATCATTACGATGCTTACTTTTTCACACACTCACTCAATATCACTTCTTTGAGAGGCATTTAGAAGTTAGAGCAGTAAGGAAGAATAACAATATCTGGATGAACAACTTCTCTATTGCATTGAGAGCAACGTTTCAGTGTGGGTTCTAACACCTCACTCAATATCAACATATATACTGAGAGAAATAAATAAAGGATCACAGGAAAATTCAAGCGTTCCTTTATTATTTCCCAGTTTTCATCACAGAAACCACAGCGCTATTCAAAGCTGGTGATGAAAACTGGAAAATATTAAAGGAATGCTTGAATTTTCTTGTGATCCTTTATTTCTTTCTCTCAGTATATATTCCTTGAAAGAAATTACAGAACACCGGATTCTTTACTTCACAGTGAATATCATATAACAGGTTCCTTTAGTAATATGAAAAAATCAATCGTTCTCTTTAGCTATTTATTGGCATATCATTCCAGGGTGAATCACATGAACAAGTGGTCCATACCATGAAGTAACTTTATTGGAATGATTTATACCCAAACTAGCAATATTCTAGCCATATTTTGGATTATTTGTTTGTTATTCAATGACAGCACTAAGCAAGAGTCCAGCTATATGTCGTGCTATATCCTGTAAGGCTGAGAGTTATCAAGTCTTTGACATGTATATTCGACTGTTATATTGGCACCATTTACAGCCTAAACCATATGAGTGAGTGGGTATGGTTTTATGCCACTATTAGCAATATTCCAGCAATATCACGGCGAGGGACACCAGAAATAGGCTTCACACATTGTGCCCATGTGGGGAATCGAACCCGGATCTTCGGCGTGACGAACCAACGCTTTAACCACTAGGCTACCCCACCGCCCCTCCACTAATATCACGACAGGGGACATCAGAAAAGTGCTTCACACATTGCATCCATGTAGGGAATCGAACCTACCCCCCTAAACCATTCAATAAATGGTAAATACCGGTAGCTTTAAGCACTGTTTTCATTGACTCATACAAAATTAGAAATATTCCAGCTGTATCTTGGAAGACAGGTCTGCAACATGTATATTGGACTGGGATATTGACAAGTTATTTCAGAATGAACCATATAAACAAATGGTCAATAGTATGAAGCAATGTTTCAATGAGTTTATACCATAAGCAGAACATTACAGATATATCTTCAATCAATCAATCTTTATTTTCTTTGTAGTGGAGGCTTATATCTTAGATGTCAGCTATCAAGTCTGAGACAAACAAACCAAATTGCAATGAAAACACAAAACCAACAAGGTCAAGTTCTCTGAGCATGTGATAATCACTCATCATTAGTTACAATAATTATTCAGTGCTGTTCAGAAATTAGTCTAAGTAAACTTAGGCTCAGTATTATTTGTTACACTGCAATACTGAGTCTAACAAAACCTAGTAGAAGGTCGCATCAGATAATCTTTTGGACTGACCAATCAGAACACAGCTTACCAAATCGCGAAAGTTAACATTCGCACATACCGTTTGAACCTCTACCTAAAAAACTCAAACGATTCCGAATGCTATTTTTGGCACGATCGCTTCCGAGTGATACACGCAATGAGTAAGCAGTCGCTGGAAATAGCGTTTTAGTCAATATTCAAGGATGTCATCTTGCGAAAATATAAGCAAATAGTAACCATGTTACTAGAAACCCATAAGCGTATATACTGCAGGTCAAATATCTGTGTTTTATGTGGATTTTCGTTTGTTGATAGATCAGTGTCAGCGATCTGGGAAGAGAAAATCAAAAACCGTTTTTGTAAGTCCCGCCGAACCCTAACAAGTAGTCGTTGTCGGATTGGTTAAATCCGTTCAGCCATCTTGCGTTTGATTGGATGGTCATAGGTCGCTCAAAGGGAAGCTGACACGACCTTTTACTAGTTTTGTTAGACTCAGTATAGCAGTGTAACTGGTTCAAAAATCCACAAATCGGGGGAGTTGATTCTGTTTCCTGCGGCATGATTAACTAAAAGTTTCGCAAATATAGAAACAACAGAGGTTGCCCTACAATGTAATTAGAGTGACCTCCTTTTCCCAATATGATCCATGAATAGGGTGATTTTGTCATTTGAGCTAAGGCAATGACTTAGAAGACAAAATAGATTCACGATTTTCTGTAAATGAGAAATTATACATCAAACATAACATGGTTTAAGTCGTTGAATTCACTGAATCCGGAATTCCCTTTGGGAATCAACATATGTAAACAATCCAACAATGTAATGATTGATATATAATTTCTCTTTAAATTTGCATAATGATAAAGTTTTCCTTGTTCAAAGTGCAAATCAGAAATGCAAGAAAGTTCCTGCCTCAGAATCCTCTGACATAACAATACCATGATGTTGTCACATTAGTTTCAAAACCAATTACCTTGTGAATCAATTACACTACTCATTTTCTATCAGAATACTAATTGCCACAGAACTTGAAGAAAATCAATGTCCCAAAAAGCACACAAAATATATAAAAAAAATCACTAACAGAAAACAGAACCCATACTGTGAGAACAGCAAGCTGGCAATGAACCCACTGTGCTAAACCTGATCCAGTACAGTAGCTGCCATATTGAATGAGGCCCATCTGTACAAACAAGAGGAATCCTGCAAGCAGCACCAACACTATTTACCAGACCTATAGGGAAGACATGCAACACAATACCCAAGCCATGACTCAGTGTTTCCTGGGTGGTAAGATCATTAGATACTGAAGCAATTTCTTACCAGTTAGTGTTTTTATATTGGCATCACGCACAGACTAACTGGGTACAGTATACCGTACAACCAGAAATATGATTCACCCAGATGGTAATAATCCTGGTTATAGCACAGCAAGCGTTATAGCTGCCCTGCCAGAATTACAATTACTACACTGTGTGTAGGATTCCAAAATGGCAAAAGTCAATTAGTGTAATACCAATACTTCGGTTGTATACTCCAAGGGGAGTTGAGAATGATAATTGGAAAGCATGCAATCCACTGGTCAGGAAATAATAAACTGCATTTGGGCAGATATTACTATCTGGATAATAATAAGGCCATTTATATAACGCTAAACTCCATGTGAGACAGGCATGCTCTAAGCGCAAAGAACATGATGGACATTATTACCCCAGGCATGAGGCTCTAGAAGGTTAATACTAGGGGTGGGTATTGCAGAGAATTTTCATATTGCGATATATTGCGATCAGAAAGCATGTATTGCGATATGTATTGCAATATATTGCATGAAGTATTTTTATACAAAAACTACTTATAATCGAGTTACTTCTTGATTTATTAAGCAAAAACACAACAAAATCACTAGGCTTGATTAAGCTTTAATAACAACTTTTAATCATGATAAAATAAAAATGTGAATAATATTTGGCACAAATGAAACAAGGACAAGTCAAAATACCGGTTTTCGATCAGCGTATCGCAATACGTATCGTTTTCATGTCTGAACCGGTAAATACCGGTAAACCGGTTATATTGCCCATCCCTAGTTAATACTCATATAATTTCGTGCTTTCAAGTTTACACAGATTCCCGTACGTTGGTTGGTTGAGAGAGCGGTCATGTGATCTAAATTTCAAGGTTCATTACTCTTGAACCCCTCTAATCGTTCATACTTGTGTAAACACCGTTCATACGTGTGTGAACGTTTTTCGCTTCGGTTTCAAGGACCCCCAATAATTGGTGATACCAATTTCGCGAACGAACCTGTTTCAAGTCACCCCAAGTTTGGCAATGTCACTACCAAACGGATTGCCGAACATTGTTCCTTTTCACAGGAGTTTAATGTCTCGCAGTTTGCGGGTTCATCCGGGCGTTTTTCTGCCCCGAGGTCTGTTTAACAACTGCTCAATAAATTTCACAATAAACAATCACAAATAAATAGAATACAACAAGATCTGTTTCCTATTCGCCACGCCGCGACAACTTCAAGTCGGTCAGTGTATTATTACGCTGTCAAACAAGGTATTTACAAGTGAAAAGGTACAATGCCAGTTTG